TACTTGGGACACAACGCCCCCCTCTATAGCCGACCTGAAGAGACCGAGGAGTTGGAGAAGAAATTAAATGTTAATTACAGACAGTTTAATGTCAATTATACCGTTCATTACTACCTGCAAAACGGACTTAAGAGGGAAAAGATGGTGATGGGAGTGCCCTTCTATGGCAGGGCCTGGTCTACGGTGAGCCCAAAACAAGTAAATCTACACGACTTGGCCAAAGGTATGTCACCCGAGGGTTTCATATCAGGCGAGGCGGGAGTGTTGGGCTATAACGAGGTTTGTATTAATTTGAGATAAACTTTATATAAAATGAGCATAAGTTTTATAAGAGTTAGAGTAATGTTATTAATATTGTCAACAGATTTGTCAGTTGGAGCTGAAAGAGCCTACAAAATGGATCAACACTTATGACTACTATTATAAGGCGCCCTTTGCTTACAACGATCTCATATTTGTTGGGTTTGACAACATTGAAAGTCTTCAGTGCAAGGTATGCATCAAAACTTGTTATTCAAATCCATGAAATGTTAATAAAAATGCTAACGATTTGTGTTTTTGGCACAAAAGTTGGCATTTTTAAAGTCACTGAATTTGAGGGGAGCTATGGTTTGGTCGCTAGAGTTCGATGACTTCAACGGCCACTGCGGCGATGGGAAGCACTTCCCGCTCCTCAGGAAAGTTCACGCTATGGTCAACGGCGATGAGAAACAAGAGACCGACTGTCCCATTGGAGGTCTCGTTCCCACTTCTACACCCACTCCCAGTACAACACCCACAGCACCCCCGACACAACAGACTACTACCCAGACTGGTGGACATACAACCAGTAGCATCGACTACTGGTGCTCAAAGGACGGTTATATGCCACACCCGAGTGACCCCCATAAGTACTTCCAGTGCGAATGGATTCCGGGCACCGGTTGGTATCTCCACGACAGGACGTGCCCCGGTGTGACTAAATGGATTCAGGCAGATAAGAAATGTGATGGTTAAGTCATAACCCTTACCAAAATGAAGTCAATTTCTAGTGTTTATGTGTAATTGAATGCAATTTTTAAATGTAAACCCTCTGTAAATAAACATATTATAATTTAAACATAAAGTTGTGATTAATTCCTTAAAAGACTAATAAATGGATCATTTACAATTAAGTTCACTATTAATCCTTACAGTGAATAAAAGTTTTATTACAACAAAGTAATACAGTATATTTTTGCATGTATAATATTTTCCACACTTAAGAGTTTATATGGTGAAGTGATTTTGTAGACAAAAATCAATTCATTAATTGTCATATTTGTTGAATAGTTAACATTGAATTTGTTTAAGTATTTAAAGCATATTTGATACATATATGAAGAACTAGAAGTTCTCAATATATCACCGCTTATTAGTACAGACATGAATACTGGAGATGATGTAGTGGATGGCTGTGGTGAGTATAATCAATGAGATTCATATAATATCACATATAATATATAGTATTCATATAAGTCATATAATATCTTTTTCAAATCATATTTATTATCCATTTCAGAAGCAGACCAAGAATAGACCCACATATGGATCTACAAATAGATCCACAAATGAATCCACAATTACCAGAACCAGAATCGGATGACCCGCACAACGAAGACATCGCTTATGAAGACTCCGATGACTACGAGGACGAACCACTAGTGGTTAAGCCCATTATCTATACAGTTCTGGTGCCACCGGGAGATGTAAACCTATTTCGGACAGATTTTCAACTCAAATACGGGTCAACACATCCGGAATTCTTTGTCGGCAACTATAACGAGGCCATCGATGCGGCCAAACGTGACTTCAGATTCCTATTGGCTTACATTCACTGGGATTCACACGAAGAGACCGAAAAGTTTTGTCAATCGGTTCTCATAAACCAGAAGTTCATTGACTATCTCACTGAACACAACATCATATTCTGGTCTTCTGCTGTCATATATCCGGAGGGATTTGTTGTGAGACAACAGCTCGAGGTAACCACTTATCCATTTATGGCACTGATTTCCATGAGAAAGAGTCGGATGGTTGTGGTCCGCAGATTAGAGGGAATCACTCTTTTGAAACCATTGATAGCCCAACTGAGGGACGGGTCTGGAAAGGGCTAAACACCAGAAGATGATCCAACAAATGAATGAATTGCTACGACAGGAACAGGAGGGCGCTTATGAGGTGTCTCTGAAAGTGGATCGCGAAAAGGAGAGACAGAGACAGAGACGGAAGGAGAGGACACGAGTGGAAAGGAAGGAACAGGAGGCCAACAAACGGATGCAACGTTTGCTTTAATTGAAGGAACGATTGATCCGTGAAATACCGACTGAACCACAACTCATTGACACGAATGCAACACATGTTGTGATTAGACTGCCGAATGGTAGGCGTCTGGAGCGACGGTTCCTTAAGACTGAATCCATGAGATCTTTGTATGACTTTGTGTTTTGCAATAACGACTCTCCGCTTAACTTCATTATCCGTACAAATATCCCGACCCGTGACCTATCCGGCCACTCACCACAACTCGAAGACTTCTTAGTGGATGACAATGTTATCACTTGAGTTGATGACAACACTCAGTGGACAACTCTGGAGGAATCGGGTGTCGGACACAAAGAGATGCTTTATATTAAAGAATTATATAACTAACAGAATTTGAAAATTTTATAACAATATTATTGCAATAATATATATTAAAAATTATAAATAAAAATAATAATAAAGGATTAGATTATAATTATATCTCAAAATCAATTCATTTGTTGGGCAAAGAATCCGTGAAAAGTACCGGTGATCGCGGATTTGGTGCGAAACCGGGCCCGACCTAACTCTGTGAACGTCTTGGCGTCCAATACCAACAGAAAGCCTTCTGTTTCGTCCAATTCAGAGAGTACTGAACATAAGACCACACCTTTGGTGTTGGGATTTAAATATAAAATTGACATAAATTTGATTAAAAATACGATAACTTATAATAATAGACACAAACCGTTGTCTTCATTATCAGGATCTGAATAATCAATACTCGGATTCTCGACGAATACGGGTTCAGAACATATGGCACTCTCTTCCCACCAAACGATCGACTCTTTAGTCTTTGTGTCAAATTTCATCTGAAATTATAATAAAAATAATTATAATATGATTAAACGATATAAAATTAGTATTAATTACAATTTTTGTTTTCATGACACCATCGCTCTGTAGTAATGAATAGAAAAAGCGATAAATTTTGCCATTAAATCGATAGTTAATTCGTGGTAATTCTCCCATAAGAGGACCTATTTATCAAACAATTATTAATATTTTAATATCAGTTATATTTAAAGATAAGTTTTTAGTATTTATACAGATATATAGATACCTTCATCAGTGATTGCCTCGTATTTTAACTCAACCACAGACTTATCAGCACTGATAGTAGCGCTGGCTTTAGTGTAGTCCAAGTCCACCAAATTTACAGCCGGTTTAGCCTATCGTTTGTATTCAAATAGATTGAATTAAAAATTAATTTTCATATTTAGGCCAATATTTAAACACATCATTCAATCGTTGTCTTAATGGCAACACAAATCGTCGGACTTGTGTGATGTAACCGAATTTATGATTGTTTTCAATCACATCCTTCCAGTGCTGTATTTTTAATGCCGGCCCCATATGGCCACCAGTGAAACAGCATATGTCTACAACCAAGTGATTGTCGTCTTCGTAAGCATTAATGGTGTGAAAGAAAGAAAACGCTTCCGACTTGTATTTCGTGTCAATTAGTTTTCCATCACTTCTTTGAATCAAATGAAATTTGGTCTGAATTTAAACATTAAGAACATCTTTAATATATTTGTATTCTGTACTAATTATAGTAAATATATATATACCTTATACTCGGGTTTCCAGGCAAGAATGCTCTCAAACGTCCTTGCACCATTTATAGTAGACCTGATAATACTGGCTGCAGATATAACTAATGACTGCTCAATGAATACGAAATAGTTGTCAGTTATGGCGAAACTGTGATAATAAGAGGGATTTAATGTCCTCTTCATAGGTATGGAGCAAATGATAGACATGTTTTCAAAGGGATTCTCTGTATTCGGGATTTTAATCAAATGGTATTTCCCATTGGGACCAAAACTTGACCCCATATTATAGACAGTGCCATCGGGGTCAACGTGCACGTGTGCCAGTGCCATATTAATGGCCACGTATTTCGAGAGGTCCACCTTCTCGTGTGTATCCAAAGTGTTGCCATCAATACGTCTAATAAAATTAGTTTCTGTGGCCGCATATAACTGATCCCTAACCGGGTATACGTTGACATTGCAGTTGTCTGTCACCTGACTGTAAGGCAAGAATACCGACTGGAAATTTTTCCAAATAGATTTACACGGATCGGGGTAGGCGTGGGTCCCGAACTCAGACACCACTATGCGATTGGCCTTAAGGTTGCTCTCATAGGTATCGCTTCGTAGGAATTTATTCTGGTATTCAACGGCACCGTTACTGATGCGGAACCGGTGTATAAGCGATAAGCCATCTAATACGCTGTTATACTTGTCTTCACCCACTTGTGTCAGTCCCAGGCCATTGCGTAGGAGAGTGCCGGTCAGCCACACAGGGATTACACCTAAATATATGACATAAAACTGTAAAAACATATTTAATATACTGTACTGTTAATGTATTCAGTATAAGTACAGTATTAGAATTATTTTCTGAAATACAATTGAAATTCATTTTCAATACAAACCTGTGATCTCGGCTTTCACGGGTTCACTACATTCCTCAAGACATGACCTTAAAAAGGGGACCTTTTTTGAAATATCTGACATTTAGACCACTTCCTGTTTACGTTTATTAATATTGAATATTATTTAGCAGGGCCAACAATAATAGTTCACAACTGGTTTACAACTATTAATTTAGTGGCAAAAACTCATTCTTTGAATTTGAACTCTTGTGTTCAGATGTCAATCAATTTGATAAAATGTCATTTTTATATGATTTTCACATGAAAAAATATGTTATGATATAACAGTAATAGTTTAATGTTATTGTAGTGTGGCATTAAACATATTTATTAATCCAGCAATAATTTACCTTTGAAACAGTTTACATCATTTTCTATATAATTTGAAATATTAATTAGAATTGTTTAAAACCTACCGTTACTTTTACTGATTTCACCCCGGCTATTCAATATGTACAATATAATCACGCGTATAGTGTACGCAAAATTATTTCATAAATATTGTAGGGACTAAATCCACCAAGTTTAGTTTTTATATGGGATTCAGCCTAAGCTGGCAACCGGGATATTATGCTTTATTCTTATATAACTTTCAACGAGGAGTCCGAATATCTCATCTATATTGTCCGGTGACATCGGGTTCGGTCGTAGTGACCACTTTTATCGGGAATTGTTTCCGTTTTAAATATGGTCATGTGATATATCAATTCAATAGAGGTTTTAATGGAGAATAAGATGGTATATGTAAAAATTAGAAAAGCCAAGATTTAAAAGAAATATTGTGATTTTTCACATTTTTCGTCACTAATTTGGCATTATTTGCATGATAAGTCAATTTTATAAGAGTTTTACATATACCATCTTATTCTCCATTAAAACCTCTATTGAATTGATATATCACATGACCATAGTTATAACGGAAACAATTCCCGATAAAAGTGGTCACTGCGACCGAACCCGATGTCACAGGATAATATAGATGAGATATTCGGACTCCTCGTTGAAAGTTCTATAAGATTAAAGCATAATATCCCGGTTGCCAGCTTAGGTTGAATTAAATCTTGTTTTTTCCTACTCCAAAAACAATAACAAGTCATACATGCAGCGTTACATAAATGAGCCCAACCGACCAAGATACAAGTAAAATATGAAGTCGTAATTAATAACACACCATCAGTTGTATATAATATAGAACACTACCAGCCACTCGAAATCAGCCTAAGCTGGCGACCGTGATAATATGATTGCCTCTTATAAAACTTTCAACGAGGAGTCTGGGTATCCAAATTATATCGTCCAGTAACCTTGGGATCGGTTGCACTTTATCGAAAAAAGTTTTATTATAGATCTGGACATGTGATATATCGATTTAGTAGGGAATTTTACGCTGAATACAATGGTTTGACTAAAAATCTTATAAACATAAGTAATAATTTTATTAATACAAATTTAGTGTATAAAATGTGAAAAATCACTATATTTCTGTTAAATCTTGAGTTTATCAAAAATTTTACTATTTCTAGTTATACCATTGTATTCAGTGTAAAATTCCCTATTAAATCGATATATCACATGTCCATATCTATAATAAAACTTTTCCCGATAAAAGTGGTCACTGCGGCCGATCCCGAGGTCACTGGACAATATAATTTGGATATTCGGACTCTTCGTTAAAAGGTTTATAAAAGGCAATCATAGTATCTCGGTTCCTAGCTTAGGCTGATTTCAACAGTGGCCGTCAGTTCTATAGAGGAGAGGCAAACAGTT